TCGATTCTCCTGAATTTCGTATTCTCCGTCGCCGAGCCCCACGCTCCGCCAAAAGTGACCGTAAACAATACTGGAAGGCTATTGCAGACAGCATGCAGGCTGTAACTGTCGCAGCGGTCTTTAGAAAGCTATTCCGTCTAATTCGTGTCGCAGCAGGAAGGCGGTAGACATCGGAACCACTATTGCGCAGCACCACAGGCCAACTCAGTCAGGAAACTGAGCAAAAAATGCAAAGGTGGGTTGAACACTTCGATGGGCCGCTCAACCAATCATCAAACCCAGCTGGCTCTCTACAGGTGTCAAGCAGTTTGGAGACCCACGACATCAATTGTCACCCACCTAGTACGACAGAAATCATCAATGCAATCCCTTCTCTGAAAAAAGGAAGGCCCTTGGAGAAGACAGGATACTACCACAGTTATTCCAAGCTTGCTTACCAACTCTGATCGATCCGCTGCACTCTCTTTTCCACACTATTTGGGAAAGAGAAGTTTTTCCACCAGACCGAACGGCTTCAATTTTAGTCCCGGTTCCAAAAAAGGGTGACAGATATAGATGCGAAAATTACAGGGGCGTTAGCCTAGTTGAAATTGTGGTCAAATTGTTTGCAATGATACTGCTCAATCTCTTCGTAGTCGTCAGAGATACCCACACTCTCGCGAACCAAGAGGGGTTTCGCCGCGGAAGGGGCTGTATTGAACAAATCTTCACTCTCTGTAGGATTCTGGAACACCGCTACAAGTTCCAGCAGCCTACCATGGCATGTTTCATTACCTTCTGCGCTGCGTTTGACTCCGTTGATAGAGAATCCTTGTGGTGCATATTGCGGTCCGACGGGATGCCTGAGGAGTTCATCAGGCTTTTAAAGTCATACCACTCAGGAACCTGGGCACGCGACCGTACCTATGGAGAAGAATTGGCTGAGTTTACCCTTAGCTCTGGAGTTAGGCAAGGTTGTCCCCTATCGCTGGTGTTATTCAATTACACTGTAGATTGGAAAATGTGACAAGCACTCATCGACTACCCTGGAGTACAGCTTGGCCAAGGTATATGGATTGCGGGCCTCGAGTCTGCGGATGATGTCGTTGTACTTGCAGACCCCATGGGAAACCTCCTACCCGTTGTCAATCGAATAAATCAGCTTACGCATTCCATTGGGCTAGAGATCAACACGTCGAAAACGAAGACAGTTTCGACCGAAACTTCTGCCATGACAGAACCCCTCTCGATTACCGGGGAGCTTGTGGAATCAACCGAAGATTTCAAGCATATTGGCTCCACGATAAGACCAAACGGCCAGGCTAAGGATGAAATCCCACTCAGTGTAGATGGAGCTTTAAGAGCCTTACTACAACTCCTCAAACCGTTGTGGAATCGATGTGAAATATGCTTAAACACTAAGCCTCTGGTTCCTCAGGTTTACATCCGCCCGATACTCACTTATGGTTGTAAAGTCTGGTACCTAAGAGTACAAGATACAAGGAATCTCGATGAACTCTGTCTGTGTCCTGTGTAAGTGTTTAGCAACTGAAGCATGGTATTTTCTATTGTAGTGGGCAATGGTTGCTCGAATTTGAAATAGTAACCTTTGGGAAACCTAAAATCCGTTTTATTGCCGTGTAGTGCCACTTGTCCACATGTGATGTGTGCCAGGAACCATTCTACTTGCCTAAACGCATTTACTAGTAAAGCGCCAAAAAAACATTGTAAAAGTACAAATGCAAATACACGTTTAAAAATAAAACTGGGAAATTCCGTTGATTCTTGCATAACTTGTTCTACTGCTATTTATAAACACTACTTTCGCCTGTACACGTCTTTCTTTGTGCTCGTGAATGCTTAACTTAGCATCTGGTCCGACGTACTGGTCAAAATCTGATCCGGATCAAACCCCCGGAGCTGTGTGCTATTTTTGTCCGATCCCAACAATCGATAGATGTGCTTTATTGAACACAAGATGTGCATGTCCAACTAACCTATTCGATCGTAACGGATAGATGTAAAGGCTTGTGAACACCCACACCACCCTCTACCAGTCCATCATAGTATGAGCCAATCACAGTTCATCGGAATCCGAAAGCAAGTGCACCCAAGACAAAGTGCACATGGACCCACGGAATAAAAGCCGGGAACAATAGGGCCCAAAGGTAGTTGGCGTTCTGGTGTTGTGCAATCGCGTTCCGCTCAGTTGAAACTCACTCGATCAACAACTGGAAATGGCAGACGACGAAGTTCAAGCGCTCGTTGTGGACAATGGTTCGGGTATGTGCAAAGCCGGTTTCGCCGGAGATGATGCGCCCCGTGCCGTGTTCCCGTCCATCGTCGGTCGCCCACGTCACCAGGTGAGTTTTTGACCTGGAATCCGTAGACCATTTTCTAGTCGTTTTCAGTAGTTTTGTGGCGGTAACTGGATGACCACTTGCACAGGACTAGGTCTATCACTAGGTTTGAACGAATGTCATTGCTTGTATGCAGCTTTGATATGTTGGGTACACGCAGCAATTCTACTTAAATGTGAACGATGTGTCACATACAATGAGTAGCTGCTTAAGTGTACACACACACACTAGGAATTCCAATTTTAATTTGATCACTGTACTTTTATAGAGTTCAGCGTAACTTGCTCGGTTAGTTTGAGTTCTGGCGAGCCAAAGTATGTTGAGAATTAAACATTTACTGATAACTCATCTGCACTACATGTTGTGAGTCAACAGCAGTCGATCTCGAGGAGCGCATTGAATTACACCTTCCCAACGAATAGGGTCTCACTAAAAGTGCAAAATCCTCCAAAGCTGAGCGATGGTCGTCTCATGATAACCCGGAAATCACGAGATATCAATGTAGTACTTTTCTGCTTCCTATACAAAGCTGCTGTTCACGTTTTGTGTCGTGTCGTTTCTTGCATTTCATTTTCTCTAAATATATGCAGAACTGGGTCAGCAAGGCAGCTTTAGAAATCTATTATCCATTGGAATAAATAATATTATCCTAGAACTAGTAGCAACTTATAACGAAATTTATAACGTTGACGAGAAAAGAATACCAGTTGCTCTCCCTTGGTACTAAACTGTCCAACTGATTGAACCCCTGATAGTCCGTTAAAAAACCGTGCGCATCAGCTCTTTGCTTCTCAAAGCCAAAATAGTCATCATCGGATGCCTGCGCATCCACGCCGTCTCGGTCTCGGTCTCTATGCAAAATTGATGAATTACCTGGAAACAGCTATGGTGCGAATGTCTATCAAAACATACAACACAGACAACGTTGCAAGTTAAAACATCTCGATGAAACGAACAGAGTGTGAGCAAGTGGGTTAATCATCGGAATAACCCTACCACTGCCACTTAACGTTGTTGAGTAGGCAGCGTTGCTGTCGTTCGGTTGATTACTATGCCTAAAATGTTGGAGCTATATGTGGTTCGCCAGTCTAACTCACAAACCTTAGTTTATCGGCTTCCATCTAAGAGCAACAGTACTTCGTAAATATTGAGTCTAACCACCCTTCTGTTGATCATCCAAATTTATGTAAAACAGAAAACATATTCTGTAAATTGATAAACGCATGAGGATGTAAATGTTCAAAAGTAAAAAAGCCACATGAAGAAAAATGTGAAAAAAATTACTCAACGAAAAACTTCGGTTTATAATCGATCGATAATTCACTGCATCAAACTAAAAGTTGCCCGAGAACGCAACACCATCGGTCACAGATGGACACACACTACGGAGAAAAAAGCGTCGTAATTTGATGTAACATTATTCCAGTAAACGATGCAGTAAATACCAAAACGTTATTCATGCCTCTACCAAATGTATGTTTTAATGATTTCAGGGAGTGATGGTCGGTATGGGTCAAAAAGACAGCTACGTCGGTGATGAGGCACAATCGAAACGTGGTATCCTCACACTGAAATACCCAATCGAACACGGAATCGTGACTAACTGGGACGACATGGAAAAGATCTGGCATCACACGTTCTACAACGAGTTGCGTGTC